AACTTACGGAATTATGCTCTCGCGAAGTTAGCGGTCTCGACGATGTTTAAGCATTGGCGATTTTGCCCACTTTGAGCCCTAGTTTTGGCCAATTCCTGTGTACTAGTTGGCAAAAATCATAACTATTTCGCTAGAACTCTGCTTTTTCTATCGAATGAGTACAAGAAACCACCCATTTACCGATTTCAACTATCCAAAAAAGTGGTCAGAATTTAGCAATTTTGCCAATTTCACACAAATTTCAAAAGATGCCAATTTCCAAATAGGGTCCAGAATAAAAAAGAAAGACATTCCTGGGACTAAAATAACTTCCTCTGTTCATTAGTCATGTCCCCAGGCCCCTCTTACATTTCTTTTGCTTTCCACTTTGATTTTTTATTCTCACAAAAAAAAAAAAAATAAGATTTACTGTTATGCAGACTACTGCATTAGTGTAGAAATGGTATAAATAATATCGGAACACTTGTGAAAGAATATTAGACTCACCAGTTGACGTGTATTGGACGCTTAGCATGATTTGTTTACTTTTGAACTTTGGTGAAAATCTCACATTTCTGCTACTTGGAGCTCAATTTCAAGGTACTTTTCATTGTAAAATCAGTCAAAATCATCTCAATTTCTGTAATATGTCTTCCATTCTATACAATGAGACCAGGAAAACTAGAATACAACAATAAATACCATACGAAAATACAGTGCAAAGTCACTGTTTTAAACCAAAAACACAGTTTTTTTTTCTCATTACGCACTGTGTGCTGCAGGATTTTTTTTATACTGCGAACAATGACCACATAGACCCATTCTTTCATATGTAGGCCTACCAGCTTTCTCTCGCTAGATTTGAAGGTGTTAGAATTTATGCGTACTAGTACATCAAAAACCCTGGTTCGTAAGCCGTACTAGTACGGCCGAAACCCCGAAAGGGTTAATTATTATACTGAAATGATTTTCACAGGGAACATAAAACGAAGTGAATTTGAATATCTAGTGTGCAGCCATTTGGAATATGTATCTCAAAAAATATTTTTGTGTGTGTGTGTGTGTGTGTGTGTGTGTGTGTGTGTGTGTGTGTGTGTGTGTGTGTGTACTCACCTATTTGTGGTTGCAGGGGTCGATTCATAGCTCCTGGCCCCGCCTCTTCGCTGATTGCTACTTGGTCCTCTCTCTCCCTGCCCCATGAGCTTTATCATACCTTGCCTTAAAACTATGTATGGTTCCCGCCTCCACTACGTCACTTTCTAGGCTATTCCACGGCCTGACTACTCTATGACTGAAGAAATACTTCCTAACATCCCTTTGATTCATCCGAGTCTTCAACTTCCAATTGCAACCTCTTGTGTCTGTGTCCCTTCTCTGGAACATCCCGTCTTTGTCCACCTTGTCTATTCCGCGCAGTATTTTATGTGTGTGTGTGTGTGTGAGTGTGTGTGTGTGTGTGTGTGTGTGTGTGTGTGTGTGTGTGTGTGTGTGTGTGTGTGTGTGTGTGTGTGTGTGTGTGCGCGCGTGCGTGCGTGCGTGCGTGCGTGCGTGCGTGCGTGCGTGCGTGCGTGCGTGCGTATCACATATCGAATGTTTCGAAAATAAGACCATTTTTTCGGACAAACTGTATCCCTATTATCGAACGCGCCCCTAATTTCGGACCGCCGGGTACAGGACCTGTCTGCCGGCCCGCTCTGTCCGCGTCCCCGCGCAGGCGCCATGAGCAGTCTAGCTTTGTTTATGCTTGAGTGAACACTAACCAGCGCTCTCATTCACACATTTTACAATTATTTCATTGTGTTTAGTGCTTGTGGGACTGTGAAATAAGCTACCATGGGTACAAAGAAACTTGCTAGTGGTACCCCTGTGGTAAAGAAAGTGAGAAACACCATAGATGTGAAGAAGGAAATAATACAGAAGTATGAGAGTGGTGTGAGACTTGTTGAGCTTGCCAGGATGTATGGGAAAAACAAGTCAACCATCGGTTCTATCCTGGCAAAGAAAGAACAAATCAAGGAAGCTGATGTTGCAAAAGGTGTTAATATGCTAACCAAAAAAAGACCACAAATAGTTGAAGAGGTTGAGAAGTTGTTGCTGGTGTGGATCAAGGATAAAGAGTTTGCAGGCGATAGTGTTTCAGAGACGATTATTTGGGAAAAGGAAAGGGAAAAGTTGCATGCCGATCTGGTACAGAAAACTCCTGGAACCAGTGCTGACAGTGAATTAAGGCCAGCAGAGGCTGGTTTGACAGATTTAAGAAGCGTAGTGGCATACACAATGTTGTAAGACATGGTGAGGCAGCCAGTTCTGACAAACGGGCAGCTGAGAAGTTTGTACAGGAGTTTAAGGGGTACATAGACAGTGAAGAATTCAAACCTGAACAAGTGTTTAATTGTGACAAAACAGGCTTGCTTTGGAAGAAAATGCCAAAAAGGACCTTCATCACACAGGAGGAAAAGGCACTGCCAGGACACAAGCCTATGAAAGACAGGCTTACTCTTTTATTGTGCAAATGCTAGTGGTGATTTTAAAGTGAAGCCTTTACTTGTGTATCATTCAGAAAATCCCAGAGTGTTTAAGAAAAACAATGTCTTTAAGAACAAGTTATGTCTTGTGGAAAGCTAATCATAAGGCATGGGTCACAAGACAAATTTTCAAAGAGTGAGTCTATGAATTATTATAATAAAAAAAGAAGCGCTAAGCCACAAGGGCTATACAGCGTGGGTCTATGAAGTGTTTGGCCCCAGTGTGAAAAAATACCTCCAGGAAAAGAAATTGCCACTCAAGTGCCTCCTGTTAATGGACAATGCTCCTGCTCATCCTCCAAACTTATTAGACCTCTTGTCTAAGGACTTCAGTTTTATAAAAGTGAAGTTCTTGCCTCCTAACACCACTCCTCTCCTCCAGCCCATGGACCAGCAGGTCATTTCTAACTTCAAAAAACTCTACACAAAAGCAGTGTTTGAAAAGTGCTTTGAAGTGACCACAGACACTAAGTTGACCCTAAGAGAGTTCTGGAGGAATCACTTCAACATCTACAACTCCATAAGCCTTATAGGTAAGGCTTGGGAGGGAGTGACTTCCAGGACTTTGAACTCTGCTTGGAGACAATTGTTGCCAGATTGGGTCCAAGAGAGGGATTTTGAAGGGTTTGAGGCTGACCCTGACCCAGCTCACCCTCTGCCTGTTGTGGACTCTATTGTGGCATTGGGGAACACCTGGGGTTGGAGGTGAGTGGTGAGGATGTGGAAGAGTTGGTGGAGGACCACAGGGAAGAGCTAACCACTGAAGAGCTGCCAAGGTTCATTGGAGCAGTATCAGACCACAGCTGAGGAACTTGCTTCAGAGGAGGAGGAGGAGGAAGAGGGAGTGGATGAGGTGCCTTCTTCAAAGATTAAGGAGATTTGTGCCAAGTGGAACGATGTCCAATGTTTGTGCAGAAGTACCCCCCTTAGCAAGCTGAAAAAAGCCATCTTTGCAACAAGTTCAGTGACAGAACCATGTCCCATTTTAGGGAAATGTTAAAAGAGGTGCCGAAACAGAGGACTGTGGACAGTTATTTTGTGAGACAGGGGTCCAGTGACTCTCAAGCTGGTCCTAGTGGCATTAAAAGACAGAGAAGGGAAGTAACCCCAGAGAGGGCTTTACCTGAAGTCCTCATGGAGGGGGATTCTCCTTCCAAACACTAACCCCAACTCCCTCTCTCCTCCTCCCTATCTTCCAGATGCCATCACCAATCTTCAATAATTTTTTTTTTTTTCAACAAGTCGGCCGTCTCCCACCGAGGCAGGGTGACCCAAAAAAGAAAGAAAATCCCCAAAAAGAAAATACTTTCATCATCATTCAACACTTTCACCACACTCGCACATTATCACTGTTTTTGCAGAGGTGCTCAGAATACAACAGTCTAGAAGCATACACATATAAAGATACACAACATATCCCTCCAAACTGCCAATATCTTCAATAAAGGTAAGTAAAAATGTTATTTTATATGTATTACTATACATAATTAAAAACTATAGTATTTGTTGTATGTAAAACTGTAATTAATCTCTATAAAATGTATTTTTTGTGTGAATATTTTTGGGTTTCTGGAATGGATTAATTGTATTTCCATTATTTCTTATGGGAAATATTGCTTCGAATTTCAGACTTTTCGAATTTAGAACTAGCTCCTGGAATGGATTAAGTTCGATTTTTGAGGCTCCACTGTATATTACATTAATCTCCAACACCAGGTATTCAGGTTAGGCATGTTTTATCAGTCTGGAGTGTCCGCAGAGCCACTCACAGTGCCAGTACATGCCGTTATGCTGCCAAGTGTCATACTCAGTAAATATTTTTTCTCGTTTGTTTGTTGGACAATCTTATTGAAACTTTCTCACAGTTCATTAAATATATGCTTCTGAAAGTACACCTAAAATAAACAAAATCGGACAAAAAATATAAAAATTTTTTTAGACACGCCTGTCCCTAAGCTAAGCTAATGTACACTTAATGCACACTGTTCAGGTGTTGGTATTATTGGAACTGTTTACGTTGTTGTGGAGGCAAGTCACGCGCGTCGATTGGTTTGGCGCAGAATTTATATGATAAATTCTATCTCCCATAAAACAATTTTGTTCCTAATCTCTCTCCTTCCCCAGAAAAATTACACATGCAATAATTATTTTTGCCAGACTAAGGATAAACTTATAGGAGCCCTAATCTTAATATTAGCAAAAATACTGAAAGCTCATCTAGATGGACTTGCATAAACTACTAGAGGCTGGAATGTACAATAAATGCACTTTTGAAAAGCTGGGCAGGGATGGTTAAGTACAGTGAGTCAGCACTGAATCTTGTCAACTGTACCATTTTGGAAAAGCAGTTCAAGAGCAAATGATAGTGGTATGTTTTCCATTTTGGGTCATCCTACCACTGTGAAAAACAACTAATAAGTATAAATGTTTTTTCCTAAAAAAACATTCCACAGCAAATGTATATTGCAAAAAATACTGTAATTTTGATTCACCTACCTCATTTCATACATCTTGATGCGAAACTGAAGTCTTTGATAAACTGTCTGGGTGTCTGTAGCTAATCCAGGAAGGCCAATATAAAGCTGAGGACCCAGCTCAAACACTCGCTGTACGAAAATAGCATCAAAGATTAATTAAAGTAAATTACTGTATATAGAATAGAGAATCAGCAATCAGGAATGCTTGGGAGTAAACTGTATCTAGATTACTGATCATTGCAGACATGTGATTATCACTAATATATAGAAGAGCATCATAGTACGGTTGAAGTTTATCCCCTAAACTGTCCAAACGTAGATCTACGTTTGCACTGCTACTGCTCCAAACATAGATCTATGTTTTATTTTTCCTGCCTCCAAATTTGGCAAGATTGGGCTGAGATGCCTGGCAAGTAAAGAAAGGGTCTTAACACACAGTGTGCGCAGTATTAAAAAAATCTTGAACCACTTAGTACCTTGTGGGAGCACCAGTAAAATTGAGCGCCATATAGAGATAATATCGTGGCAAACACCAAGGATTCACTGATGCCATGTCATATTAACACTCCCCTTGTAAGAGCAAAGTTATGGATGTGGCCACAAGTGATTGAGGAAATATAAAAAAACCTCAATAATAACCCATGTGTAACATCTGTGCAACATCCTTTCATTTTTTATACCACTGGCTGTCTATCTGTCTGTATCTCTGTCTGTCTATATCTCTCTCACATGTACACATAAGTACAGTTATTATACATAGTGAATGGTTTACAATACGGCCTCTCGTCACTTAGCGATGTGCTCGTTCACCAATGACTCGCACTTACGACGGGCTCTCTGACCAGTATTCATGCCTAAATAATGTATATTAGAGCTGATTTCCTCTATTCTGTTTATTTCAATATACAGTGCACTACTGTATAAACATTTAAAAATATACCAGAAATGTTATAAATGGTGCAAAGGTGATACTAAAACAATATAAAAAATGGTTGACACAAACTCACTACCATTAAAGTATGATCCTCACTCAACAATGAATTCATTTAATGACATGGTCTCGGGAACAGAACTCAGTCTAGTTTAGTGAGGAAAGGCTGTAGTGAATTTGGAACGGCTGGTACTTTTGTTCAATAAATGTATGAAAGAGGGGAAGGTACCTCAGAAAGTGGGACAGAAGAGAATACAGAAGGTAACTGTGTATTCATCATCCTCTTTTCGGTGTTCCACATTTTTGTCAGCTTTCAATCGAGTCATTGTTCTTTATGTTCAGTGCTTTTACCGCTTTTCCACCACTTTCGCACATAGCTCCATAAGGGAAGGGCAACTAGTGCCACATATTAATATAAGTAGTATTGTGTGTAAACAAACCATACCATGGGCTGGGATTGAACTCATGGCGAGTGAGTCGTAAAACTCCAGGACAGCATGTAAGCCACTGGGCCAGCTGGCTACAAGAAGAGTCATCCAACTAGGCATATCTATACACCACAGAGAGGTTAGCACAGACCCCACTGTGACGACAAATGCAAGTTTTTACAGATGAATCTCCCGCCAGCGTGGCCATGATGAACTCTAGCTCTCGTCCCCTCAAATGAATCTTACTGTAACCAGCTGGCCAAGTGGCTTATGTGCTGGCCTGGAATTTTACAATTCACTCGCCATGAGTTCACTCCCCACCGGTGGTATGGTTTGTTTGCAATCGTGCCATTACGATTTCACGAGTCATATCGTATGTACTGTGTATTTAGTTTATTTTTATTTATCTGTTTTTCTTGATGGCTAGTTGTATTGAGCACTTAATATATGATAGTGCAAACATTTTATCATGTGTTTTAGATGCATTCGATAATGAAAAAAAAAACACTTTTTTCCAAATAGGACTGTCCTGTATAAAAATTATAGGGGAATAAGCCTGATGAGTATACCAGATAGTGTATGACAGAGTTATTAATATAAGAATTAAGGGTAAGATGGAGAGCAAGATCACAGATGAACAAGGAGGCTTTAGAAAGGGTAAGGGATGTGTAGACCAAGTGTATACAATGAAGCCCATGAGTGAATAATATTTAGATAAGGGTAGGGAAGTTTTCATTGCTTTCACGAATTCAGAAAAAGCATATGAAAGACTGAAGCAATGTAGCAGATACTGCAAGTGTATGGAATAGGTGGTAGGTTAATGAAATCAGTTAAAGAGTTTTTACAAGTACAGTGAGGCTCAAGTTAGAGAAGTGTGTAGGATTAGGGAGATTATTTCACAGTAAAAGTAGACCTTAGACAGGGATGTGTGAAATTACCATAGCTGTTCAATATATTTATAGGTGGGGTTGTAAGAGAAGTGAATGCTCGGGTGTTGGCATGAGGTGTGGGATTAAAAGATAAAGAATCTAACACAAAATGGGATTGTAACAGTTGTTTTTTGCTTGTGACACTGCTTTTGGGAGATTATGACAAGAGGTTGCAATGGTTGGTGGATGAATTTGGGAGGGCATTTTTTTGTTTTTTTAACAAGTCGGCCGTCTCCCACCGAGGCAGGGTGACCCAAAAAGAAAGAAAATCCCCAAAAAGAAAATACTTTCATCATCATTCAACACTTTCACCTCACTCACACATAATCACTGTTTTTGCAGAGGTGCTCAGAACACAACAGTTTAGAAGCATATATGTATAAAGATACACAACATATCCCTCCCAACTGCTAATATCCCAAACCCCTAGTTAAGAGTGCAGGCATTGTACTTCCCATTTCCAGGACTCAAGTCCGGCTATATAAAAATAACTGGTTTTCCTAAATCCCTTCACTAAATATTACCCTGCTCAAACTCCAACAGATCGTCAGGTCCCAAATACCATTTGTCTCCATTCACTCCAATCGAACATGCTCATGCACGCCTGCTGGAAGTCCAAGTCCTCGCCCACAAAACCTCCCTTACCCCTTCCTTCCAACCTTTTCGAGGACGACCCCTACCCCACCTTCCTTCCTCTACAGATTTATACACTCTCCATGTCATTCTACTTTGATCCATTCTCTCTAAATGACCAAACCACCTCAACAACCCCACTTCAGCCCTCTGACTAATACTTTTATTAACTCCACACCTTCTCCTAATTTCCACACTCCGAATTTTCTGCATAATATTTACACCACACATTGCCCTTAGACAGGACATCTCCACTGCCTCCAACTGCCTCCTTGCTGCTGCATTCACAACCCAAGCTTCACACCCATATAAGAGTGTTGGTACTACTATACTTTCATACATTCCCTTCTTTGCCTCCATAGATAACGTTTTTTTGTCTCCACATATCCCTCAACGCACCACTCGCCTATTTTCCCTCATCAATTCTATGATTAACCTCATCCTTCATAAATCCATCCGCCGACACATCAACTCCCAAGTATGTGAAAACATTCACTTCTATACTCCTCCTCCCCAATTTGATATCCAAATTTTCTTTATCTAAATCATTTGATACCCTCATCATCTGACTCTTTTCTATGTTCACTTTCAACTTTCTACCTTTACACACACTCCCAAACTCATCCACTAACCTTTGCAATTTTTCTTTAGAATCTCCCATAAGCACAGTATCATCAGCAAAAAGCAACTGTGTCAATTCCCATTTTGTATTTAATTCCCCATAATTTAGTCCCACCCCTCTCCTGAACACCCTAGCATTTACTTCTTTTACAACCCCATCTATAAATATATTAAACAACTATGGTGACATTACACATCCCTGTCTAAGACCTACTTTTACTGGGAAGTAGACTCCCTCTCTTCTACACACCCTAACTTGAGCTTCACAAATCCTCATAAAAAATCTTTACAGCATTTAGTAACTTAACACCTATTCCACATACTTGCAACATCTGCCACATTGCTCCCCTATCCACTCTATCATATGCCTTTTCTAAATCCATAAATGCAATAAAAACTTCCCTACCTTTATCTAAATGCTGCTCACATATATGCTTCAATGTAAACACTTGATTTACACATCCCCTACCCACTCTGAAACCTCCTTGCTCATCCGCAATCCTACATTCTGTCTTACCTCTAATTCTTTCAATTATAACCCTACAGTACACTTTTCCTGGTATACTCAGTAAACTTATTCCTCTATAATTTTTACAATCTCTTTTGTCCCCCTTCCCTTTATATAAAGGGACTATACATGCTCTCTGCCAATCCCTAGGTACCTTCCCTTCTTTCATACATTTATTAAACAAAAACACCAACCACTCCAACACTATATCCCCCCCCTGCTTTTAACATTTCTGTCATGATCCCAATCAGTCCCACCTGCTTTACCCCCTTTCATTCTACGTAATGCCTCATGCACCTCCCCCGCACTCACATCCTGTTCCTCTTCACTCCTAAAAGATGGTATACCTCCTTGGCCAGTGCATGAAATTACCGCTTCCCTTTCTTCGTCGACATTTAAAAGTTCCTCAAAATATTCTCGCCATCTACCCAAAACCCCCATTTCCCCATCTTCTAACTCCCCTACTCTGTTTTTAACTGACAAATCCATTTGTTCTCTAGGCTTTCTTAACTTGTTTAACTCACTCCAAAATTTTTTCTTATTTTCATTAAAATTTCTTGACGGTGCCTCTCCCACTCTATCATCTGCTCTCCTTTTGCACTCTCTCACCACTCTCTTCACCTTTCTTTTACTCTCCATATACAGTGGACCCCCGCTTAACGATCACCTCCAAATGCGACCAATTATGTAAGTGTATTTATGTAAGTGCATTTGTACGTGTATGTTTGGGGGTCTGAAATGGACTAATCTACTTCACAATATTCCTTATGGGAAAAGATTCGGTCAGTACTGGCACCTGAACATACTACTGGAATGAAAAAAGTTTGTTAACCGGGGGTCCACTGTACTCTACTCTTCTTATAACACTTCTGATTTGTAAAAACCTCTCATAAGCTAACTTATTCTCTTTTATCACACCCTTTACTTCATTCCACCAATTACTCCTCTTTCCTCCTGCACCCACCCTCCTATAACCACAAACTTCTGCCCCACATTCTAATACTGCATTTTTAAAACTATTCCAACCCTCTTCAAGGTGATGAGGTTAACAAACAAGTTAGGTAATAAATGATTAGGAGAGAGAACGGAGAAAGTGAATTTATTATTATTAACATACTGGCCGATTCCCACCAAGGCAGGGTGTCCCGAAAAAGAAAAACTTTCACCATCATTCACTCCATCACTGTCTTGCCAGAAGGGTGCTTTACACTACAGTTTTTAAACTGCAACATTAACACCCCTCCTTCAGAGTGCAGGCACTGTACTTCCCATCTCCAGGACTCAAGTCCGGCCTGCCGGTTTCCCTGAATCTCTTCATAAATGTTACTTTGCTCACACTCCAACAGCACGTCAAGTATTAAAAATCATTTGTCTCCATTCACTCCTATCAAACACGCTCACGCATGCCTGCTGGAAGTCCAAGCCCCTCGCACACAAAACCTCCTTTACCCCCTCCCTCCAACCTTTCCTAGGCCGACCCCTACCCCGCCTTCCTTCCACTACAGACCTATACACTCTTGAAGTCATTCTGTTTCGCTCCATTCTCTCTACATGTCCGAACCAGTGAATGTGTTCAGATATTTGGGAGTGGACTTGGTGGATGGGTATATGAAAGATGAGGCAAATCACTGAATGAAAGGAAGAAGGTGGGTGATGCACTGAGGTATCTGTGGAGACAAAAACTGTTATCAATGGAGGAAGAAAGGAGAATGTATGAGAGCACAGTGGTACCAACACTCTTATATGGGTGTAAAATAAGGGTTGTGAATGTTGTAGCAAGGAGGAAGCTGGAGGCAGTAGAGATGACGTGTCTGAGGGCAATGTGTGGTGTGAATATTATGCAGAAAATGCAACTTTAGATTCAGTAAAATTATGCATTGCATATAAAGTGCTGAGGATAAAATTGACAAACTCACCAGTGAGCAAAAATTGCATTTTCTATACGAGACTATATATTAGTCTTTAAAATGAGACCAGTTTGATCAAAACTGTATGGTTGGTTACCAAGATATTGTTGCAAATATGTTGCAGACATTTGTAGGTGATCTCAAATATGACATTTGGAAATTTTATTGGTTTTCTCTATGTTGCAAATGTTTGTAGGTGATTTTTTCACATGTGTGACATTTGACAAGTTCATTTTCTTCTCAGTTCCTCATATGATGAGGCATCACATCAATTTTATGTTCTTTATGGTGGCTCAATAAGCTAAAAAAAAAAATCCAGTGATGTTACAAATATTTAAAAAAAATTGTTGTCAGAACACTATCAAGAATTCACAATGAGAATATAAAGTACCCTGTACAGTAAAATTAATGAAATGTATATCAAATAATAATAGAAAATTAATAATGCATACACAAAAGTGATTAAAGGAAGCAATGGTAGTACAGTATTGACAAGTGGAAAGAATACATGAGGATGGTTACAGGTACAGGAAACATTCATTATAAAATTCTTAAAAGACAAATGTCTGAAAAATGTGCATAGTAAAAGTACTGTGTGTGTTTTTCAGCCTGATGATCAGATATAAATTGTGTTAATCTACATAATGAACAACACAGTGTAGTACAGTGTAGTATACATGCTATACATACATCATTTACATGTGCACTGTGTAATGAAATATATTCTAAGGGATTACAGTACTGTACCTCAAAATCAGTGGTGATAGTCTGAGATTGGACACCAAAACGAAGGTCACAGGCAATAGCTACACAATTCTTGCCCTTCATGGCAACCACACAACCACCATTGTAATTTAATATACTCTGCAAAAGAAAAATAAGATAACTTTGCTACCTCTTTGTATTTTATGAAGTTATACAAATGCCATATGTACCATAGTTTAAATACATACAGTATTATCACTGAGAATTATGATAATTTAACAGGAGTGAAAAATCACAAGTTTTAGCCAGATTACAAGCTAGGTAACTGGTACAGGTCCTCCATCACAAATCCGGCATCATTGGGACTTGTAGTGTGCCGGATTACCGAGTTTGCCGGATTACAGAGTGGTTAGGTTAGAATACACGTAATAAAATTAACCAACTTGACTTACACAAAGTTCATTGAACATTGGCAAAAATCGAACATTTCCACTACTTTGAACTCAATTTCAAGGTACTTTTCGTCATGAAAGCAATCAAAATCATGTCTATTTCTGTAATATATCTTCCATTCTATCAAACGAGTCCAAAAAAATGAGAATACAACTATAAAAACCATACGAAAATATACTGCAAAGAGGCGGCTAATGGCTGAGAAGTGAACTCCCTTATTTATTGTCCGTCTTTTTTATTTTTGTTGTACGTTAAGAAACATCTTTCCATCATACATTGCCCAAGTTTCAATGACATAGCCCAACAAACAACCGAGAAAAAAAAAATTATTTACCAAAAATCATATATGGCAAGCCCAAGCCAGGTACTGGAAGTAAGTCACTTTGACTTTTTTGGGTTATCCTAGGTTTTCTATACATACACTGCTATGTATGATAATCTATGTAACTGTATTTGTGTATACCTGAATAAACTTATTTACTTCTAGTATGTCAACTGAGTACAAGAAACCACCCATTCACTTATTTCAAATACCCAATAAAGTGGTCAGAAATTGGCAATTTCGCCAATTTCACACAAATTTCAACAGACGCCAATTTCAAAATAGGGTCCAGAATAAACAATGCAGACATTTCTTGCACTAAAATAACATTTTCTGTTCATTAGTCATGGCTACAGGCCCCTCTTATATTACTCTTGCTTACCATTTGGAATTTTTATTCACAAAAAAATAGAAGATTTACTGTTATAAAGACTGCTGCATTATTGTAATAATTGCATAAATAATGTCAACCCATTCTTGACTCTGTATTGGAATTTGTACTGGCAGGCGGATGGTAACGTCATCTGTTTACTCTTCAGCTTCTCTAAAGAATAAAACATTTTTGCTACTGTGAGCGCAATTTTAAGGTATTTTTTGTCATGAAAGCAATCCAAATCATATCTATTTCTGTAATATATCTTTCATTCTATCAAATGAGACCGAAAAAATGAGAATACAGTGGACCCCCGGTTTACGATATTTTTTCATTCCAGAAGTTCAGGTGCCAGTACTGACCGAATTTGTTCCCATAAGGAATATTGTGAAGTAGATTAGTCCATTTCAGACCCCCAAACATACACGTACAAACGCACTTACATAAATACACTTACATAATTGGTCCCATTGGGAGGTGATCGTTAAGCGGGGGTCCACTGTATAACCATAAAAACCATACAAAAATATACCGCTAAGTGGCCGCTAATGGCTGAGAAGTGAACTTCGCTATTTATGGTCTGATTTCTTTCATTTTTGGTGTATGTTAAGAAGTATCTTTCCATCATACATTATCCAAGTTTCAATAAAATAGCCCAACAAACAACTGAGAAAATAATAATAATAATAATAATAATATCTTTATTTCCTACACTTACATGTACAAGGTAAACAGGCCTAGCTGACACCAGTGACATACTACTACAGTATATAGAAAGCCGCTTGTTATGCAGAGTATTTCAAGAAAATTAGGTCAGTGTCCCAGGATAACACCCACACTAGTCGGCTAACACCCAGGTACCCATTTTTCGATGGGTGAACATAGACAACAGGTGTAAAGAAACACGCCTGTTTCTACCCTGGCTGGGAATCGAATATTTATTTATTTATTTATTAATTTATTTATTTTATGTCTTTGCAAACAGTACATTGAGATTTTATATTTACAATAGTGGGTTGCAATGCAAAGAGAGCCTCTATTATGCCTAGGCATTATGGGCCAACTTAACATTATTGGGTTACAGTCTACTTAACACTAAGGAGTATATCATAGTTGAACAGTAGGATAGTAATTATTTCATAGTTGTACAGTAGAATATTAATTATGAATGAGTCAAAATTTGTATAATACAAAGATATATTTATATTCAAAAATACTTTTTGTGAAGACAATGATTTAATTATATTCCTGTCAACAATGGATAAAAGGTTCAAAGTGATTGTTTCATTATAAGAGCATAAGAACATAAGAAAGGAGGAACACTGCAGGAGGCCTGCTGGCCCATACTAGGCAGGTCCTTTACAATTCATCCCACTAACAAAACATTTGCCCAACCCAATTTTCAATGCCACCCAAGAAATAAGCTCTGATGTGAAAGTCCCACTCAAATCTAACCCCTCCCACTCATGTACTTATCCAACCTAGATTTGAAACTACCCAAAGTCCCAGCCTCAATAACCCAACTAGGTAGACTGTTCCACTCATCAACTACCCTATTTCCAAACCAATACTTTCCTATGTCCTTTCTAAATCTAAACTTATCTAATTTAAATCCATTACTGCGGGTTCTCTCCTGGAGAGACATCTCAAGACCTTATTAATATCCCCTTTATTAATACCTATCTTCCACTTATACACTTCGATCAGGTCTCCCCTCATTCTTCGTCTAACAAGTGAATGTAACTTAAGAGTCTTCAATCTTTCTTCATAAGGAAGATTTCTAATGCTATGTATTAATTTAGTCATCCTACGCTGAATGTTTTCTAACGAATTTATGTCCATTTTGTAATACGGAGACCAGAACTGAGCTGCATAATCTAGGTGAGGCCTTACTAATGATGTATAAAGCTGCAGTATGACCTCTGGACTTCTGTTGCTTACACTTCTTGATATAAATCCCAGTAATCTATTTGCCTTATTACGTACACTTAGGCATTGCTGTCTTGGTTTAAGGTTGCTGCTCACCATAACCCCCAAGTCCTTTTCGCAATCTGTATGGCTAAGTTCTACATCATTTAACTTACAAGTACTAGGGTTATGGCACTCCCAAGCTTCAGAACCTTGCATTTATCTACATTGAACTGCATCTGCCACTTTTCTGACCAAGAATAGAGTTTGTTTAAATCCTCCTGAAGTTCCATAACATCTACGTTTGAATCAATTATCCTACCTATCTTTGTGTCATCGGCGAATTTGCTCATATCACTTAGTAAATTTCCCTCATCAAGATCATTGATATATATTATAAACAACAACGGGCCCAAGACTGATCCCTGTGGAACGCCACTTGTTACAGATCCCACTCGGATTTAAACCCCATTTATGGACACTCTCTGCTTCTGTCAGTGAGCCATGACTCGATCCACGAGAGCACTTTTCCCCCAATGCCATGAGCTGCCACTTTCTTTAACAGTCTATGGTGCGGAACTCTATCAAAACCCCTTACTAAATCTAAGTAAATAATATCAAATTCTTTATTGTGGTCAACAGCCTCAAAAGCTTTACTAAAGAAAGTTAATAAATTAGTTAAAACAAGCCCGGCCTTTTGGTGAATCCTTTGCTGAGTATCATTAATCAAGTATGCTTATCGAGATGGCTTCTTATAATCTCAGCTATAATTGACTTTTTAGTAATTTGCCTACAATTGAGGTCAGGCTTATTGGGCGGTAATTTGACGGTAAACGACTTGCCCCCTGTTTTAAAAAATAGGAATTACATTAGCCATTTTCCACATATCAGACACTACACCTGTTTGAAGAGATAAATTAAAAATATTAGTTAATGGTTCACAGATTTTCCATTTTGCATTCCTTAAGAACCCTTGAAAAAACCTCATCGGGACCCGGCAACTTATTTTGCTTCTGTCTGTCTATCTGCTTCACAACCATCTCACTAGTGACTGTGATGTTAAAATAATTTATCTTCTTCTAGCCCACTGTAAAAAAATTTAAATTTCTGGAATATTGTTAGTGTCTTCCTGTGTAAAAACTGAGAGAAAATAATTTTTTAAAATCAAGCACATTTCATTCTCTTTGTCAGTAAGGTGCCCATAGTTATTTTTAAGGGGACCTTCTTATCTCTAACTTTTTTTTCTATAGACCTGGAAAAAACTTTTTGGGTTAGTTTTAGAATCCCTAGCAACTTTAATTTCATAGTCCCTTTTAGCTTTTCTTATCCCCTTTTTAATGTCCCTCTTAATGTCAATATATGATTCATAAGATGACCCTCACCCCTTTTGATACACCTATAAATTCCTTTCTTATGCCCTAGTAGATATTTGAGCCCATTATTCATCCATTTTGGGTCATTTCTATTTGATCTAATTTCTTTATATGGGATAAACGCTTTCGAGCAGCATGTATTTGTGTTCAGAAAACTGTCATATTGATTAGCTCTCTTCGTTACCCCAGTCAACAGATGATAAGTGTTCTCTAAGCCCATGTAATCTGCTAAGCAAAATCTGGGACTGTTACTGAGTTATCGTACTATCGTACTTCCATTCAAAGCTAAAAAGTAATTGATTTGTGATCGCTAGCACCCAGTTCCTCTGAAATTTCTAAATTATTAACAAGGGATTCATTGTTTGCCATAACTAAGTCAAGCAGGTTATTTCCCCTTGTAGGTTCTGTCACAAACTGCTTCAAAAAACAATCCTGAAATACTTCTAAGAAGTCGTATGATTCTAAATTCCAGTCAAGAAAATTCCAATCAACATGACTAAAGTTAAAGTCTCCTAGAATTACTACATTATCGTGCCTTGTGGCCTTAACAATTTCCTCCCATAGTAGTTTCCTTGGTCCCTATCTAAGTTTGGGGGACGGTATATCACTCCTAAAATCAGTTTTTCATGCCCCTCTGAAAATTCTATCCAAACAGACTCTGTATGTGTTACTTCAGACTTAATACCCGTTTTTATGCAACAGTTCAAGCGATCTCGGACATACAATGCCACCCCACCCCCCCTCCCAATACTTCT